GGACTATATTTGCAAATTCCCAAATTGGGACACATCATCTCATAAAAGAATTTTTTTCTATAGTTTTTATTAACTGAGAAGCTGACAAAAATGGATAATTTAAATCACATTTAGTTATTTTTAATGCAACCCCCCCAACAGAAAAAGGGAGCATGAAACTGAATAATACTAGGAAATTGAGGATGTGTTACTGCCATACATAAAATACCAGATGCTGTTTATTGGTAGACTTACAACTAAGTGACTGGAGGCTGCTCAGAAGGAATTAGCTAGCTGTAGTTGGTAGGTGTGAGTAGAGAACACTTGATCAGATGAAAGCAAGTGTCTTTTAAAGTGCGAGAGGTGTTGGAATGAACATGTACAGAGAAATAGGTGGGAATGGATTGTGGGGTTTACTATTTGAACCCCCCCCCAAGGAGTTTGCCTAATGACAGTAGAACTGCATCTTACTCTTGACGTCTAGTTTAAGGATGCTTTATTTAAATTGTTTTTTGATGCTGGGCCAGAACAGTTTAAATGTTAAATAAGTTAAAAGTTTAAGGTATTTGGCACTCTTGTACTCCCTCCCCTCCCTCTCCACGCAGCCACAATGGAAAAATTTAGAGGAATGTCAGAAACATTTCATATATAAAAAGAAAAACTAAATTTTATACTGAAGAACCCTTGGGAAAAAGCAAATTGTGTATGCTGTATCTATACTATTTTCATTTTCAAACATTAAATACCATCAAATTTAGAACAGTAAGAAACTCAGCCTGACTCTAGTGAGTGTTGACATTAATTATGTTTATACATGTCGTTAGTATTGGATATATAGGATGCTCCCATGCCTGTGGTCTGAAGACTGAATTTTAGATTGTGGCTTTTTTTTACTATCTGGAGCTAAAATACGGTTTAAATAAGCTCAGAAATGAGTGCAGAAATTCATTACGCTCAAATGGCCCAGAATTCTAGGAATAGCTGCTTAGCCACATGAGTAATCAGAGATCTGTAAATTCAGATAACAGTGAAGTACCATTTCATGCCCATATAAGTTGGCACACATTAAAGCTGCTACCTGGACATTACTGAGTGTTATAGAATATAATAAGACTTAGTGTAAGTTGGTACAGTTGCTAGGAAGAGCAGTTTGAATATACGTTACGGTATGTGCCCTGTGGGGGAATTTTGCTGCTTACATGTGTGCCCAAGAAGACATAGGGAAGCATTGTTTGTAATAGTGTAAAAATGGGAACTTGCATGTCTATCAGTAAGGAAATGGCTACATACAATATTGTCTAGTCCAGGATTCTCCATTAGAAATACGATCTGAGCAACATGCAATTTTAATTTACTTTTAAAGTTCAAAAAGGATGAAGTCAATTTTAATGTATCTTGAGGAAGTATATTATCCTTTAAGGTGATTATTATAAAAATCATTGACATAGTCTACATTTTTTTTTTCATACTGTCTCTTAAATCCTTCATGTATTTTAATTTAGAGCACATCTCAATTTGGTTGTTAAATTTTCATCCTGAATACTTGATCTGAATTTAAATTTCATGAAATTTACTGTTGGTAAAAGATTAACATACCCAAGTTTTTCCATACATACTGAAACATTTTTCAGTAACCAAATAGAGTATCGGATAAAGTTTAATTCACTTTTACCATTATACTGGTCTTATTTCAAATGCTCAGTGATAGAGTAGTGGTATGGGTAGTGCCATCTAATTATAGCATGTTAAAATAAATTGCCTGTATATGTGTAAAATAAAATGTGACTGATTACTCAAATTTTGCAGTGTTAGTAAGAGCTAGAGAAGTTGTGCGAGGTTTTATTGTTTGTTTTGAACAGTTTTAAATATTCAGAATAATACAGGGTACTAGTACAACACCCATGTATCCATTTTGCAGATGTTAACATTTTGCCATGGTACCTTTATATCTTTCTCTTCAGTCCTGGGTTTATTATTTAGAATATTTTTTTGCTTCAATATTATATAAATTGAGTATTCACTTGTTTAGTTTATAGCAGGTATCAAAGAAAGGTGACCTTGAGATTATTATTGTTCCTTGAGGGTGATTATATAACATAGACTGGAAATGGGGGTGTGGCTCAAGTGGTAAAGTGCTTGAGGCCCTAGGTTCATTTCCCAGTACTGCCAAAAAAAAAAGAAGGAAACAAAAACTTAAATGGACTTTTAATGTTTAATTCTTTTATAAAGTTTTAAAGAACTAGGTGTCTATTGGGAAATAATTTTTTTTTAGAGTTTTAGTAATGTGTCACCTATATTAACAAGAATTTAACTCTAGTATTACAAGAAGGCTGTTTCCCTGATATATACTGTTAGTTATTTTAGCTTTATTTAGTAGAAATCATGTGGGGAGAAAAAATATTTAAAGTTTAATAAAACTGAAAATATAATACTAATTTAAAATGTAATCATAAAAATGTAACTTTAAATATTTATCAGACATAGTTCCTGATAGACTTAAAAACACCTAGTATTTTAAATGGATTTTGAGATGGATAGGGTTTTAAATGCATAGGAGAGGCAGAGAAAATGTCACTTGGCAGTTATCTAAAAAATAACAAACCAGCTTCTTTGAACATTGACAGTGCTGCTTAAGTACATACATTGTGTGGGTTTGCTCACTCTTTACACTAATTGTCACTTTCTCCCTTAATCTTTTAAATGCAGTAACCAAATAAAGTGCCTAATATTTACATGCTAAAGTCTTTTTACAGTTAGTGCTGTGGTTTACTGAAAGCCCTGAGGTAAATAATATCTTCTCAAAATGAGAGATGATATGTTAGGAATATAAACAGTGTTGCTGCTGTTGAAGTGTGTTTTATTTAATCATATTAATTTCCAAATGAAAAAATTTATTTGGTATCTACTTGAAATATGTCAATTAAATGAAATACTTCATGTCACAAAAGTATTTGATGTTCAATTCTTGTAATGCAAATAGTGATTTAAGGAACAATTTTTCATTTGAATGTATGGCTAACCAGTTAAAAGATGAAGGAAGGGGGAAGAAATGGCCCACACAATGTATGCACATATGAACAAATTAATAATAAAAAAAACAAGGAATTCAGGTCATACAATTAAAAAAAAAAATCCTTCCAGAAGATATTTTGTGGTGCTGGTGTCACATTTTAAGTCTGTATCTCTCTGTTACAGCAATGTCACTTTACAACTTTGAAATTGCTGCATAGAAACTGGCCAGTTTTAAAAAGCATGGACCTGTTAGGTTTTTAGTTCATCACTAGATGGAGTTCTTGCAATATAACTATGTATTGGGTAGGCTTTAGTAGAATAATCTTTGCTTTCCTCAAAGTAGGCATAAGTATTTTTTTAAATGAACATTCTCTATATAAGCAATCAGCTGTTAAATATATAACATGGTCATAGGAATATGTAGTTGGTAGTACGCTGTTTATGCAGCCTTTAGCAACATCAAACAGGTATTTTGGCTAATAAGGTTTTTCTTAGGTAGGGTTGTATATGTGTGTGTGTTTGAGAGAGAGAAAAAGAGAGAGAGAGGGAGGGAGGGAGAGAGAGAGACAGAGAGACTGATTGAAAGTAGTTCCTTGATAATTATGATTAACATTATTTACTTGTGCAGGTCAGTTCTTTTTACAAAATCCTAATGCTTGAGCTCCTGCTTACCTGAAGACTTGCTGTGCCACCTCACAGTAACACTGAAACTAAATTCTTCAGGCATTACCAAGGATGTAATGCCTGAAGAATTAAATGGCCGTTAGGTAAATGGTTTGTCCATTCCTTGACTTACCGTTGCTGTTGTCCTTAATTTTAGCCTTACCAAGTGTTGTTCAGCTTGCTGCTTTAAACTCTAAAAACTAGGCCAAAAAGAGAAATAATTTTGTCTTTCTATGTACTTACTGTCTTCAAGGAGAGTATTTTCATCACGAGTTGGATGTACCTTCTGCTCTTTCGTCCTGAAGTTAGGCATGTTTGCATTGTTGCTCCTCTTCTACCTTTCCTTTTTTCTGCTCTATAAATAACAGAAACACTTTCTTACCATGTGCTGTTTAACCAGTTGAGTTTCAAGCTTTTAAAAACTGTCACTTTCTGGTTCTTTGTAGTCGTTATGTGAAATGAACCTTGTAAGCATTTGTTTTCTTATATTTGTTACGATAAAGTTATCCACCAGACATTTCAAAGATAATTTAATACCTGTTACAAGGTTTTAAGTAGTTAGTTAGAATTATTAAAGTATATTTTTTTTATATTCTCTCTCTCTCCTTTTTATCTCTCCTCTCTTTTTTTCTATTGTTAACATAAGTCTATCCACAGTGACATTTCAAAAGATAATTTAATACCTGTACAAGGTTTTAAGTAGTAGTTAAAGAATTATAAAGAAAAATACTAGTCCCCTACCCCATCCCCTTCTTCATCAGCCCCATTCCCAGAGGCAACTACTTTTAAAAATTCCAATTCTTATTTCTTTTGGTGGTTGTGTCCATATAGCTAATAAGGTCTTATCCTGCTGTTTTTTGGGTTGAAAACATTGGAGCTTGAATCCTTGTAGCAGAAAGTCAGCTGATAGTGACATTTTCCTCTTCTTTACCTCCTACTCATCTCCATACAGTCATTGTTACAACCTTCTTGACTGGCTGCTCTACAATTTAAATGGGACCTCAAAAACCTAGTTATGTGTACTGTGCAGTTGTTAGGAAGTTCTTGAAGAACCAGTCTGTAACTAGCCAGCCAGGAATTCTGGAGGACCACACTAATTATATTTTATTGGGAAGCATGTTATTGCAGAGTTCCTTACCTGTAAACATCTTTCTTCAATTGCCATTTGTGTAACTTTTAAAATGACAACTGTTACAGTTAGGAAATGTGTTTTATCACAGTTGAAGCCTGGAGGCAAGCTGCTTCATAGGTTTGGTGACATAATCAAAGAACCAAATTCTTTGTTTTTCCATCTGCTCTTAAAATGTTAGCCATGTTCTCAGGTATGCTCTCCTTAGGGTAGTAAGATGACCTATTATGTGAGGTAATTATCCCATCTTATGTGAGTAAGTGTCTCTTGTGAGTGTTCCTAGAGTCTTCCGTCAAACTTTTCCTAGTTATTTCATTTACCAGAATTGCTTCAGAGACCCAGTTCTAAACCAGCTTCTGTCAAGAATGGGGTTGCTATGATTAGCCTAAATGTAGAGGAGGGTGGAGTGTCTGAGGTTATTAGGGAGGAGCTAGGAAGCAAAATTGGTGGATAGTAAGCTAACAATGTCTGCAACAATCAAACCCTCAGTGGAAAACCTTGTTTCTAACAGTTCTGTCAGGCCACTCTCTTTTGAAAAATTAAGTAGAAAGTCCAGTTATTTCAAACCATGTCCTTTGTAATATCCTTTGCTACAGTATCTATTTTGTACTTATACCTACATATTTGAAAGCACATTTGTTGGAAATTATCATTTCTCTTCCTTCTCTTGAATTTGATTATATTTATTGGATCTATACCTTTGTACTTCCCTGGAATAAAGATTTATTGAGTAATCACACAATATTTGCAAAAACATAAACTTCAGTGGTAATTTTTAAGTAACATTATCATTGATTTTTTTTTTAAACCAAAGCTATCCAAATGGCAAGTGTTGATATTTTTTCCCCTTTTTTTTCTAGTTCTAGAACTTAGCTATCTCCTGGCAAATTAGTCTTTTTTGCTTTGCTTCATTGTTTTTTATTACCCTCATTTCTTTTTTATTGCAGATGCCTAAAAACTAAATGTAGTAATTTTTATGTCAATAATAATGAGTTTGAATAAGCCTCACTTTTAAAACAAAATTCCAATTTTACTGTTTTTTCTGTTATCTTATACTTAAGTCTTCTACTTCCACATCTGTGTTGTTTTAGAATCACTGTATTAGTACATTTACAGAATTTTAGTCCAAGACGAAGAACTTCAGAATTACTCGTATACCAGTTCTCCAGAACAAACCAACAGGAAAATACTCCAGAAAGCTTTTCTATATCAGTGCACTAGATTGAACTGCTTACTGTTCTGGTTTATGTGTAAGAAATGACCATGTAAGTGATTCTTTAGGATTAAACCGTGTATGTATGTGTGTGTAGTTTTTGCTTTTCTAAGCTAGTTTAAAGTATTTCATACCAAATCTATTTGCTATTAAAATTTGGGTTTTAGATTAATGTTCAGTTTCTTACAAGAGTTTCTTTACTGTTGCCATTACCAAATAAGTCATCAATTTTATACTATTGTTATATATATTTTCTAATGACTTTTACTGCCCAATTAGTAATATCAGTAGTAATGGTAGAAGTTCAAAACCAATTATCAGTGAGATAATATTTACCTTGAAAATTGTCGATTCTCATATTCTGGTTTGAAATGTAAGTTCTATGTCATGTTAATGTGTTACATGAAAATGAATTCTGATGTCAAATAATTTTCCACCTGCTAGATTATTCAGGGTTAAGTGGATTTCTTTATTGCAGGACTTCTTAAGATTGTTACTATTGTCATGTGTGTTTTAAATAATTCAAAACCAATTTAAATATGAAGCCCTTATTTCTCAGACTGTTGTTTCATAGAACACTTTTTGAGAAACACTGGGATTTGTTCCAGTTAGTGTTTGTGTAAAATATTGTAAAGGAATAAGGCACTTTACCTTTATAAGTGACATCCAGTATATTAAAAAAGACTACTAATTTAACATTTAGATACCTGGAACAATCAGTTTCAACTGTATGTCAAGTATTTTGAAGAAAATAAAAATCTTGAGTATTAGGTATGCCTTCTTGCTGCTGCTTCTACAGCTTTTCACTAAATGTTACTTATTGACATGAGTAATGTTGAAATAGACTGGTCATAGATCTAGTATTCCCAAACTTCTCCAGCTTGATTTTCTCTGCCAAGTTCTAAACAAGTGTTAAGTTTCTGACCCAGCATTTCTGCGTGGAAACTCTGAGCTTCTCCTCTCCCCTTCTGTTCCCCCAATCTCAGACCTTACTTTCTGTTTTCTGTCTTGGTAAATGGCATTGTTATCTTTTCAGTCACCCAAACTAGGAATCCAAGAGACTCAGATTCCTCTTTCTTCAGGATCCTGTATCAGAATTTCCCAATTATGGTGCAGCTAACGTTCTGGACTAGATAATTCTTTGCTGTTGGGAGTTGTCCTGTGCATTGTAGATGTGTAGCAGCATTTCTGGCTGCTACCAAATACATGCCAACAGCAAGCCATGGTCTTGTGCATGCTAGGTAAGCACAATGCTGCCAGATTTGTCTTCTGAAATACAAAACTATTTCCTGATTATAATTTCAGTCACTTCCAATAGAAATCCTTATGAACTGGCTCCGCTCCTCTATTTCTTCATGCTAGTATCCATACTAAAGTTCTTGCTAAACACAACAGTGTACTTTGTTCTCTTCTTACTGTGACATAATTTATTTCAAACTCTTCCTAAGTATCAGTCTCTCTGTCATAACCCTTAGTCATTTATTTTCAGATAATCTATGATGATGAAGAGCATTTTTTTTTTAACATGTCCCTCTTTCCTCACCAAATTGAATTTTTCAAGGGCAGGCATCATCTCCACTTTTTTTTTTTAATCTCCTCCTCCCTTTTGTGGTACTGGGGATCTTGCTTAGCAAGATGTCCTAGCCAAGCAATCTACCACTGAGCCACACCTCCACCTTCCATCTCAGTTCTTGGCATGTAGTAGATACTCACTAAAAGTTTGAATCATTTCTAGTATGCCCTATTAGATGTGGTTACTTTTAGGAACTCTCTTCCCTATATTGGTGAAAATTGTTTTCCTACTCTTTATCATCCAGACTGCAATAGGTTGGCTTTTGACCCCAGAAATCTTGAATCACAACTCTCTTTAAGAAGCCACTTATTCAGAAGAGACTTGAAGAAAAGCCTGTACTTGGTAGATTTTCAAATGTCATTTCCTTATAACTAGTTAAAAGATTTTTATTCTGAAAGAAATTAAATTACAAGGATTAATTAAATTGGGTTGATAGGATGTGGAGAATCTTTACTGGACTCAAAACTGCATTTCTATTGAGTACAGATTTGTTAATTGATCACAGAAAGCTTGAAAAAGCAGTATCATTATTTTAATAACTAATTTGGCTTTTAAGATAATACTGATTAGAACACATTCCTATTATCACCAGCCTGGGCTTCAAATTTATTCCCTATCTCATCAAATGAAAACAACAACAAAAAAGTAATTGGGTATAATAGCTCACGTTTGTAGTCTTAGCTAGTCAGGAAGCAGAGATTGAGAGGATTGTGGTCCAAGTTGGCTCTGGCATGAACATGAGTCCTTATTAGAAAAGCAAAAAGGGCAAAGACCCAAAGCAAAAGACCTAAGTGGTAGAGAGCACCTGCCTAGCAAGCTTGAGGCCCCAAGTTCAAACCCCAGTACCACCAAAAAAAGAAATAAAAAACTAAGTATCAAATGAGTAAAGAATAGCGTCCCACTTCCCTTCCTTATATTCAGTATTAGAGTTTTATATACAGTCATTAGATTTCATTGTGAGTTGGAACTAGCCACAGTCGATCAATGACAGTTTAACCTGGAACTTTAATTAAAAGGTTAAAAAAATAGTGGCTGCAGAGCTTCTGGAAGATAATTCAAGTTGTAAAACAGCCTCTCTGCCAGTCAAGGATTAAAGATGGGGAAAATGGGAAAGATTAAGCCCTCTCAAACTTAGAATTCTTCATTTTGGCACAGTGTGTTGAATACTAATAATTATTTCTTAAGTGAATCTGTATATAATATCAGTTAAGCAAGAAGGAATGACTTTCTGCTTTGTTTTTTAGGGAGTGACACAGTATATCAATTCCCTTTGAAAGAATTCTTTAATAAGAAAAATTAAAGCTGGACATGTGATCCCAGTGCTGTAATCCTAGCACTTACAACACTGAGGCTAGATGATAGAGGAGACTAGCCTGGTTAACATACATAGTGAGACATTGTCACTAAAAAAATAAATTAAAAAATAAATAAATGAAAAAATTATGTTGGAGGTTTCCAGAAATAAAACTAGGAAAGAGACAGGTTACCTACAGGTACGGTTCATCTTCCTTACACCAGCACTGAGGGCCAAAGGACACAGAGGACATGATGTGGTGACCAGCCCATTATGATGAAAACCTGAAGACCCACTTTTGCCAAGTACCCAGATCTATGTTGACTGCGTTGCTCATCTTTGTTTTCTGTACTCTCCTTTCTTTAATATTTGAATAATATTTAAAATGAAACATTTAATTTTAATCATTAAATATAACCAGTTAAAATTCTCTTTAGGATCTTGAACTGCTTCAGAAAAGAAAAATATATAATGAAATGAAAGAGATTATAAGTGGACTGGGAAAAAAGCAGCAACAACAACCTGATAAATGCTGTTTCCAAAAGAGTTTTCACTCAGAACTTAAGTTTTGCATTATAATGCTTCTGTTACATATAGGTCATCTCATGCCTGCTTTTCATACTGTCATAATTTTTGAACATATATTTTTGATTAGTTGTGAATATATTTTATATTTTGAAAATGTACATTGTTAGTTTTGGCTCTTTAAATAGTGTTTTTTAAATATTTTGTACATCTACAAGGCCCTACTTGATCTAAAAAAAAATTAATGGTTTTAAGAGCCTTTGTTTTCTATATACTTTCCAGTATAGTATATGGATGTGTAGTATACAAAGTGTAAACTTTCTCAGTGAGTTGTCTATTACCAGAATGAAGTAGTTTTAAGTGAGTAAAACTGTTAATCTTATGAGGGTCAAATATAAGATCCTTGTTTTTTTTTTTTTTTTAATAGTATATTGTTATTACTGTTCACAGTAGTTTTGATCTGTAAAGGTGCAAGGAACATGAAGTTAGCAAATACTGAACCGTTGCCCCTAAGGAAAATACAGCATCATGTTTCTGTAAGCTCACAGCATGTTTATAAGCTAGTCAGTACATAACATTGTTTTATGTGTGTTATTTTTTTTTTTTTTTTGTCCCACATAGTTTCACTGGTAGCCCCAGGCCGGGCCCCAAACTCCCTCCTGCTTGTTTTGCAAGTGCTGGGATTATAGTCGTGCAGCACTCTACTTAGTTAATGTGTGTTTTTGTTTATATCTTGTTGCTGAGTTAACATTAAACTCACGGCCAACAACAGTATAACTCATGCCTAAATGAAGCTTATCTAACATACATCTTCTCAGTAAATCATATCCAGCTTTCTTGTACCTAGAAACAGACAAAACCCTTTAGCATTTTGTGGAGGGGGCATTTTAAATAGTGAAAGTGCCAACAGTAAGCATAAAAACCATGGTAGCAAACAGATTGCAAAAGGGATGCTTGTTTATATAGTATAAGTGCTGAGAAAAGAAGGCAGAATATTCTCATGTTCACCTTGAGATGAAAAGGTGCATATTGGGTGACTCATGCTTTTCCACTGCTCTGTAGATACGTCTTAAAAAATGCCACAAATTAATTTTGATGTTTCAGATAAACTTTAGGTGGTGAATTCATGTACATAGAACCCATAACAAAGATGGACAATAATTGTTTTAAGGAACCTTATAACTGAATACTTAGTATCCACATTGGAAAGGAAATTTCTCTTATTTTCCAGTATGTGGAAGTTGTTGGCTATTCAGAGTCATCCTTACAGTTTTCATATTCTCTTCTTGAGTGGGATAAAACTGTCTCTTTCATTTTGTCATTTTCTTTTCTGCCCTGCAGGGAACAACCTATCTTCAGCACTCGAGCTCATGTCTTCCAGATTGACCCAAACACAAAGAAGAACTGGGTACCCACCAGCAAGCATGCAGTTACTGTGTCTTATTTTTATGACAGCACAAGAAATGTGTATAGGATAATCAGTTTAGATGGCTCAAAGGTAAGTTACATTTTAAATAATCTTGTGTTGCATTACGTAGTATAGCATTTCAGTTTCATTCAGATTTTTATATTCATTAAAGTAAAATATTTCCATTTGAATTTTTAAACTTAACCTTAAGAAACAAAACCAATCATTCTGAGTAAAATATATTTTTGTTCACTAAATTGCTTATATTAATCACCATCATCTTTCCAGATATACTTCCATGTTAGTCAGTTTTTCAGTATTGCAACAGAATACCTGACATAGGCTACTTATGAAGAAAGACGTATTTAGCTCACAGTTTGGATGGCTGAAAGTCCAAAGGGCACAGCCCAGTCTTGGCAAGAACCACCCCTTGGTTAGGCACTGCATGTATCAGATAGTGGTGGTGGGAGTGTACTGGGAAGTAAGTAATTACATCTTATACAAGGACTGAGAGTTGAGTGGGGCCATGCTTGCTCTTTCTGGAGAGTTCAAGAAGTCTCATTGAGAGCTGCTTTTCAGGTGTACACTCCCAGTGACCTGTGGGCTGCACTAGGCCCACCCTTGAAGCTCTATGATACCACCCTCCAAACACATAAGCCTTTGGGTGAACACAGGTAAACTAAACTCAAATTATAGCAGCTTCTATAGATAGTAGGTAGTAGACTCCTTAAATCATATGAAGTCTGTTAATGTCTTCCTTATCTGAAGAGAAGCATCAAGACAGAAACCCTAAGGTTATTTTTAGGAGAGGCAGGTAGTGTAACAGTTAAGAGCAATAACTGCCGGGGTTCAGGTCTCAGCTCTGCCAGTACTGAGTATTTTGACTTGGAGCAAATTACTTCTCTGAGCCTCATTGTTCTTGCTTCAGTATTTCTAGTTGTAAGGATTAAGTGAACTAATATCTGTAGAACACTTAAATAGTGCCTAGTGCGTAGTATACTCTTCAAAGGGAGTAAAGTATAATTTATTCTTAATGATTGTTGTGTAAGTGACTTGCATAATGAAATTGTACCCCCACCCCAAGTGTGGTGGTACAGGTCTGTAATCCCAGCTATTGGGAGGCAGAGGTAAAAAGATGAATTCAAGGCCATCCTGGGCTACATAGTGAGTTTCTGGTCAACCTGTGCTACTTAGCAAGATCCTTTCTCAAAAAAACCAAAAACAACAACAATAAGAAAAACCACAAAAAACAAGGCCTTGAGATACAGCTCAGTGGCAGAGCACTTGCGTAGCATGTGCAAGGCCTTTTGGTCAATCCTTAGCACTGAAAAACAAAATAAAACAAAAAATCCAAATATCCCTTTCTGGATGTAAAGTATGTAGAAAGATGAGATTTCTGTTTTTCTCCAAGCTTTCTTAAAGCCATGAGACCTTTCTAGGCCCCCCTAATTCAGTGTAGGGGTTAACTGCACAGACTGGAGCCAAACTGTGTCATTTGACATTTTGTCCCACTATTTGTTAGCAGTATTATTACCGAGCTCAGTAGTCCTAAGAAGACACTGGTCCAGAAGACTCCAAGTCCTTGTTGTCACCTGAACAGAGAACTGGACAGAGACACAAATTGCAAAACAGTAACAAAACTTTATTGGAAGAAAAAGAAAGAAACAGTGAGAGAAAAGAAAAGCAGTGGGCCCCTGCCTGATAGCAAGGAGGATTGATTAGCAAAACTTTATTGAAAGAAAAGGAAAGAAGGAAGCACTGCAAGGGAGTGGTGGGCCCTTGCCAGGTGGCACAAAAGCATTGACATTTTTTGTTTAAGTCCAATTTATAAGTTGTAAGGCGGGAAAAATCTGGGCAGTCCTTAGGGAGGGGCTAGGGTAGCTGGCAGGTTTATTTAACACAACCTTGTGACATAACAAGGGTTATTCTACCCATGTGCTTAGGCTAATTTTTGAGCCTTTAATTGTATGTATGAGATGTGACTGACATTCATGAGGTCCTAAGTAAGAGAACTTGGCCTGGGAGGCCAAATTGGGGGCAGGTCCCCCCCCTTATTTTTTAACAAGGAAGACCCATAGGTGCCTTTTCTGGATGCTGTCTCATAATGATATTTCCCATGCCAGATGATTTACAATTTAGAGGGGATTTGTTGGTCTAGAGATGGTTCAGGGCTATGCTGGGTGCTTGTTAGAGAAGAGACCCCCTGGTAAGTTGTTTTCCCTGCCTGCTAACCTGCCTCAAATATAACCGTGAGGGAGGGTATTCAACCTCTGAATACCTCAGCTTTCTCATTTGTAAAAGGAGCTAAAAAACAAAACAATCTACATTATTATAGCATAGCATCATTGCAAAGAGTAAATTCAGGAAAAAGCACAAGGTGTATACAGTAATCATTCTAAAAATACTTGCTGTTAGTGTTATTAATGTTATTAGGTTATTAATTGTATCCTGCCTAGTAGGTTTTAGAGAATAAAAGAACATTTAATTTAGTGCTAAACTTTTAGTATGTTTTTTTTTCAGTCTCATGATTTCCTTATCTTTTAAACCAGATTATAGATTTTAGGGGCTATGTGTATTTTGTGTCTTTGTAAGTGGCTGTCCTGGACTTATTTGCATAATTAACCCTCATTTCATTTTTACTTGGAGTATTTAAAAGATTTGAAAAGTCTCGGCCAAAAGGCCGAGAAGCGATTAGTAACAGTTAATTTCTGTGAAGCATTATTTAGCAAATAGTAATTTTGCATATTTTGTAACTTTGGTTTAGAGAAATGCAACAGATATTAAATATTATTATCTCATACTTTAGAGTTAATTTCTTTTCCCTGACTGAACCTTCAATTTCTATTGTCTGTTTTATCTCTTGGCCCAACCACAGATAAAATGTTTTATTAGATACGAGATATAAATGGTTTATAGAAGTAAAAGTCTATGTCCAAGAAAAGAAACTGTATGGAAATGATTAGACTACAGTTGTTAATTTAACCCTCAGCAGATTAGAACACTGAGTTATTTTCAAGGAAGTAATTTAGTGGTTAAATAATCCTCCTCTGTTCTTCCCTCTGAGGTAACAGAACTATTGTTTTCGGCATTTCCATTTCTGAATATACTTTGCTTGTAATTATTAGAATTTAAGCAACTCTTTTTGAAAAGAGAAAAAAGTTTTGTGTTGTTCTTTTCAATAAAACATCTCTCCTATACCAAGTTAAATTTTCTATCACATTTTCATTTTCTAGTTACTTTTCTAAACTAATTCTGTGAATGACAGCAGTGGTTTATTTGACTTGACTGAACAGCAGTTTTTCTCCTTCCACCCCCAACTCCATCTCTTTACTTCATGGTTGAGTTGGAAAGCCTGTAGGTACCCTGAGTAGAAAACGTACATTTGTTCTCATGTAGTGCCTATACTGTGCATGTGAAGTTTGCCTGAAGGTTTTCTGATCCTGCCTCAGAGTCATTAGCATGGCCTAGGGCCAGGATCCAGGCACTATATGATCTGAAATGACGCAGCATTTCTGCTGCTTCCCTTTAGAAGAAAAAGTCTCTAGAGTTGAGGAACATCTTTATGGTAAACCATTAAAATTTTCTTTTAATGGGTTCATAGTAGTGTTCTATTTAAAGACTCCCAAGAAATAAATTTTTTAAGTGTGGGATTATCTATTGTTGTAAGGTTTTTCTTTGGTGATAAAGGAAGGTAATACAAAGGAAAGGAAAGGTTCAGAGTGGAGATTAAAATGGGACTGTTTAACAAAGCAGAAAGAAGTTAATTTTAAACAGTTAAAATGAGAGTTAGTGACCAACAATCCATTGGTCAGTTTTCTTAAATGCCTATAAAACCTATTGCCACCTGACTTTTTTGAGAGTTACCAGGATCATGTGTAATATATGCCCTTATCGTCTTGAAAACCTTCAGGTTCCAGCTCAAATGTTCCTCAGAGAAGAATGAGGGGCCACCAGATCTAAAGTGGTGACTGCCAGTCTTTATCTGCTTGTCTTCCACTCTCTGCCACATCTGTCTTAGGAGCTTCATAGCACACTCTAAAACTAGTGTCAGCTTTTTCTTTACTTGTGCACTGACTGACTACTTTTACAGAACAAAATCCATGATTATATTGCCTCTCTTACTGTATCTCAGACTTTTAGAATTATGCTCAGCATTTAATAGGTACTCAGTAAAAGTGTTGAATAAATGGATGATCCCTTACTATTTGTTAATATTTTTTTCATTTAATCTTTCATTTGATAACAGCCTCACCAATTAGAGTAGTTGTTAGCCACATTTTACATATCTAAAACATTATGCTGGTAAGAAGCTATTTTGAACTGAAGGGTAAGGAAGCTGTAGATCTGAATATGTAAATTTTAAGGATAGGGCTCTCATATGAATTAATAGATAGCACATGTACTTTTTGTGAGAGAAAGGAATGGGCCAGTTTCTATTTTACTTTCGACTTTGGTAGGTGTTCATGTATTCGTTATCATAACTGTCAGTACTGCACAGTTCATAAACATTTTCATTTATGCTGTTATTTACATGGTAAATTTAGTTGTTCTGAAAATTGTCATTCCACATTTAATAGTTTGCCAAATGACTGCCTATGGATTGGATTTGAAAATACGTATCTTTTTATTATTGTTGGAATTATATTTTAATATTAATTTTTGAGGGCATTAGACTACCTAACTAAAAATAACTCTACTTTTCTGTTACTGGCGAGCATAAATTAATATGGTATTATAGTTAAAAATTATTATGGTGATCACCAAAGTTAGTATTTAGTAACATATTAAAAATACTAATTTTCTAAGAAATTATGTGTTAAACAGAAATGATATTGTCATCACTCTATACTATATTGTGAAGAAAGAAATTTTAGTATATACTTGCATTTGTTTTTATCTTGAGTAAAGAAAAAAAGTGCTGAATGACTAAAAGTCTTTTCTGTATCACAATATATTTCAGGTAAATCCACTTTAAGAAAACAATTGCTTATAGATTTTAGAAAATTAACATAGTTTTTTCTATTGTTTTTTGTATTCATTTTTGAAACATAGCATGGGACCCTGGTATCAAACATCTAAGCACTATTAAGACAAAGACCTATTTTTTTCACATGAATATCACCCCAAATTAATAAATAATAATCCTAAACATTTGAAGGAAAAAAACTGAGCACACTAAAAACTGAAATTTTTTAGATTATAAGAAAACTTATTTTGAATATAAGATGTTGACATTTTTAATGGACAGAGAACCATTATATTTATTTTAGTTACAATATTTCCACATTGTCACTTACAATGCTAGAAACTACTACTACAATTATCTTTAGATATTTAACATTGTGTCTTATTAGTGATCCTAAATTTTTATGTAACTGAATAGTCTGCATTTAATATCCATTTGCTAAATTTTGGCTGGTTGCTCATACTGATTTTATTTTTCAGGCAATAATAAATAGCACCATCACTCCAAACATGACATTTACTAAAACATCTCAAAAGTTTGGCCAGTGGGCCGATAGCCGGGCAAACACTGTATATGGACTGGGATTCTCCTCTGAGCATCATCTTTCAAAAGTAAGTTAGGTCATGTTGCAGTGAAAATCTTTATCTTTAACTCATATGTCTTAAATATATAACAGCAAACTGAGGGAGGCTATAAAATACAAGAGAAAATTGTTTAATTTTCTCAGTACAGCTGTAGTGATTTTAAAGCAAGAAGCAAGAGATCATTGGATTCTTCTGTTGCTTGGAAGTTTTATTGTATACGTTAAAACAGTCACCATTGTCTGAGAAGGATTTTTGTGACTAATTATCTGTATGGCAGGAAATAAAAGGTGAGATTTATCACTTCAGAGGGATTTTGCTCAGACATTATTACTCATTAGTTGGAAATGTTCTGTAAAGACAGGCAGACACATGGCTGGTGGAGTGACCCAAGTGGTAAGGGTGGCTGCCTTGCAAGCATGAGGCCCTGAATTCAAGCCCCAGTGCCGCTAAAAAAAAAAAAGATACACACCAAGCTCTTAGAAATTATGAAACTGAAGATGAGTCTGGGTTTGGTAGCACACAACTATAAGCCCAGCTACTTGAGAAGTAGGGATCAAGAGGAGCATGGTTCGAGGCCAGCCTGGACAAAATATTCAACAAACAAACTAGGCATGGTGGCTTATGTCTGTAATCCCAACTATGTGGGAAGCAAAGGTAGGAGGATCATGATCTGAGGCCAACACTGGGCAAAAAGCTTGAGACTTTCCCTAAAAAATAACTAAAGAAAAAAAGAGCTGCACATGTGGCCCAGGTGGTAGAGCACCTACCAAGTAAGAATGAGGCCCTAAGTTCAAATCCCAGTACTGCAAAACAACAAAATAAAAATCTGAGGCTGAAAGTGATATAAATTTCAGCTTTTGATATGATAGCAGGCACATACAATTAATTGTGTTTAGGGGAAATTGTGCTTTATCTGGGTATAGAGTTGCTGAAGTGATGCAGTGCAGAGTGATGTCCTGTAGACACCATGAGGAATTTTATTGCTTCCTGTGGGTTTCTAAGAATCAGCATCTTCTGAATAGCAATTTTTGTTTTGAAATTCCTTTGTGGAGTGTTGTGTTGTTTTCTGGTGCCGAGCATTAGCTGGTTAGAAATCTTTAGTGATGGATTTTAGTTATGTCAGGGATAACTGTATATTTGTAATATTGAAAATAAAATGTCTTACATGAGAGTTATGTTTTAGTAATAGTTTAAAGTGTTTTCTCAGTACTGTGATATTAATAAGTAGACTTAAATTCAGTTTTCTCAGTGACATACAACCAGAATATAGATAACCTAGCAGATACCAGATTTCAACTTCATTGTAATAGTGTTGTTTTTGAAAGGGATTTGTCAAAGGACTTCTTTTTCTGTCATTATCATATAGTTGAGATATCTATATATCTATACATATGTATAGATATATATATATATACACATATATATATAAAATATCAAATCTGAATTGCTTTGGAAGGCTGTGCTGCTTGTGTAAGAGTTGGTTATTCAGAAAATGAAAGAAAATTGAGGTAAAATTGGGCATTGTGACTTAGTATTTGGTTGATGTATACAGTCTTTATACATTCAGTTTGCAGAAAAGTTTCAGGAGTTTAAAGAAGCTGCTCGACTAGCAAAGGAGAAATCACAAGAGAAGATGGAACTTACCAGTACACCTTCACAGGTAAGAACTTCATTTTATTTTTATTTATGAGTCTTATTCATTTCTGATGGCATCCTTTATGCCAGAGTTAAATTTAGGAAAATTATGTCAGATTTTCCAAAGTGGATATAGAACTGCATTCTTTAGTTAATCTCTACTGGTAGAGAAATAGTTTTTTCTATATGTCATTGTCTACAAGAACATGTTAAAAAATCAGTTTAGTAATTAAAACTTAGATTATTTAATGTGCGTAACAACTTACAAGCTAGTTTCATTAGTTTCATTGGGCTCTAAACTATCAGGATAGTTTACTGTAGTACCTGGCATCTGGCCCTGAGCTGATTAAAGTAGAGCAATAGTGTCTGTGAGGTGTGCATGCCAGATAAAGGAAGATAGGGTTCTTTGATATCAAAAGCATGCTCCCTTCTCAGCCTTTGGTGTCTCAAAGTATTGGTTAGCCCTGGGTGAGAGAGGTAGTTTCTCCCAAGCCAGAAAGATATTTTTAAGATAAAAAATATAACCAGGCATCAGAGGCTTACCACCTATAATCCTAGCTATTTAGGAGGCTAAGATTGGGAGGTTCATGATTTAAAGCCAACCTGGGCAAAAAGTTTGTGAGACCTCATCTTAACCAATAACTGGACACAGTTGGACACACCTGTCATCCCAAGCTACATGGGATGCTAAGATTAACAGGCCAGTCCAGGCTAAAAAGTTTACGCGATCCCATCTCAATATTAAAAAGCTTGATATTTTGGCATGGGCCTGTCATCCCAGCTACTACAGCAAGCATACAATAGAAGGTCCAGGCTGGCCTGGTCAAAAAAAAATGAGACCCAGTCTCCAAAGTAACTAGGGCAAAATAGGCTATAGGTGTGGCTCAAACAGGAGAGTGCCTGCCTTTCAAATGTGAAGCCCTGAGTTCAAACTCCAGGAAAAAAAAATTCAGAATATCATAGAATACAGAAAAATTTAAAAATATAAACTATGTCATACTCCTTGGTTAGCACTGTCCCCAAAGGTTAGAGATTATACAAAAGTATCACTTTTTCCTTTAATAAATTACCTCTTACTATCCATCAGAATATTTCTTTAGTTGGAAATTGTATCTCTAAGTAAGGTTCATTAAGTATTCACTTTACATTTCAGTTTTGATGTGTGATTTTTTTTTTGGTGGCGCTGTGGTTTGAACCTAGGGGCCTCCAACTTACTGGGCAAGTGCTCTTCCACTGGATCCGTACCTCCAACCTCCTCCCTTTTTTTCATTTTGATTTTGAAATAGAATCTCATTAATTTTGCCCAAACTGGTCTCAAACTTGTGATCCTCCTGTCTCTGCCTCCTGAGTGTCTGGAATTACAGGTGTATACCACCATGCCCAGCTTCAATTTCTTTTAAATAATAGGCTTTTTAACAATTAACTTTTATTGCAACTTTAATCTTGAGTAGGGCTAGTTCTGTAGTAATTGTTTCTGAAGTATACTCTATACTTTTTTTATGAAAAGGAAGAATATATGGAATTTTCCTTTTTCCTCTCTCTCTTCCTCACACCATGTAGCCCATGCTAACCTTGAACTTATGATTCTCTTGCCTTCATCTCCTGAGTGCTAGGATTAAGAGTTACGCACCACCATGCCAGCCTACGTGGAATTTTCTTGAAGTAAATAGGAATTATCTTGGCATTTAGTGAATAGCCAAATGAACAGTTGAGAAAATACTTTGTCCTTCTTCTTCCTCCCTGCCTCTGGCACACAACTCTATTTGGTAAATCCATTAACACAAAGAGAAAAGAAAAGCTCTGTTAAGTGTGCTTAAAGTACATGTTTCCCCCCACATTAAAGGTTTATTCCAAATTGAAGCCAAAGCTCCACCCTACCTTCATATTTGCTATAACGTGGAGTAACTTGGATGATACTTGAAGCAGTATATTAATACTTTTAAGCATAAAAGTCTATTTAAAATTAAGTACCAGTACATTTTGGGAGCTCTTATTCCTCAGGTGAATAATTGTATTATTACAAGAAAATGTAACAAGTAGCATATTGAATAAGAGAATGTTCGAGGGATTTCAATAAAATGAAAGTAGATTAAACTTTGCCATTGTGCTTATTTAGTTCCTGTGTCTCTAACCATAACTTGTAGTTTTTGCAAGTTGCTGGCATACCTGCTCCTCTTTGGTGGAAAGAATGTCTTTAAGCCTTTACTTTCATAAAGAGATACATCAAAGTTACTTGTATTTGGAAAATGCTGTGAAAAAAAAAAAGAATTGGAGAAATATCTCTAAGTTCATCAGCACTTGAGAGCCCAAATATATAGACCTTAATTTATCTTCAGAACACTTGATGTCTGATTATTAATTGATTATACCCAAGCCAGAGACAATAGTAAAAAAAAGTATTACTTTCATTTCTCTTTTTTCCCCCTTCCCCCTTTTTGTGACCATCTAACATTTGTTTCATTTGAATTACATGATCCTTGGCAACTCCTGTCGTACCTAAAAAGGGAGCTTGATTTACTGGTTTAACCTAATCTGCTAAATTAATGCTGTGCTTGATAAGTGGACTGTTACTCAGGAATTCAGCAAAGAGGAGGCTAAATGGGATATTTAATAGTTTAGGTGAAATAATCGATGATAGCGTGCACTTAGTTGGTCATAGCTTTTGTTTTTATTTGAGGAGGCACAGTTAGCACACAGGTTAAAAGTATTTACATAATGTCATAGTTCGGTCATAGAGTGCTTGCCTATCATGTACCAGCCCCTGGGTTCAATCCACTTTTACTGTCACTCTGGAATCTTGGGGAAAGTTGCTTAACCCAAGTGTCCACTGTCTATAACACAAGTATTACATTAATTATTTTGAAGAATTGTTGGGGAATGCATATAATAATGACAGTGTCATAATCGCTAATGCTGTGGACTTTAGAGCTTGGATTTTAATGTTGTACCAAACAAACCCTTAACTAGTTTTATGAATTTAGGCAAGTTACTGTTTTTCTTCATCTGTAAAATGGAAACAACAGCATGGTCTTAGTAAAGGTTATTGTGAAAATTCAATGAGGATTAGATAATCCTTAGCATATAGTAAATGCTCAATAATAGACACCTGTTACTGGTCGTGTGATTATAATGGCAAGGATACTGATATAAAGCCCTTAAATAGCATGTGACACATAACAGTTACCTAGAAAAACACAGATGCCTTGATTGTATACACCTTGCCTTCAGATTCCCTGGAAGCCTTATTAAAACACAAATTGTTGAATACTACCCCACAGTTTCTTATTTAGTAGGTCTGAGATGAGGATGAATCACTTGTGTTTCTCACATCTTAGGAAATGATAATGGGACCACATTTTGAAAAGCAGTGCTTCTCAACCTCCCTAAAGGCTTGAGATGAAAGGTATCTGGCATTTAGAGCAAAGTTATCCACTTTACCATTCTTAGACTCTTAGCTAAGGTTATGCACTTGGCTTAATCTATAGGGAATTAAAGGTAGGATGAATCTGACAAGGTAGCCAATAGCTGACAGTCAGGAGATTGTAGTAAGTCTTGGTGAGGTTGTAGAGCAGGGAGAATGGGAGTAGGATAGATAGATTGAGACAATAGGAAGTTGTACAGCATAAGCTCTCCTGTTGGAATCAAAACCAGTAGTAGTTGATCCATTAATCAAAGTCAGTTAATGTGAGAAATTGTTTTTTAAAAGAACCCTTACAATTTAAAAATTAAAATTCAGTAATAAAATGTTTTACTTACTCACTAAGTCACTAACTCTTTGATTTAAATCCTTTGAATATGATCTGTTGATGGGCATCCCTCCTTATCTTTTTTATATAAACTGTTCAGATAGTTGAATTGTCTGCAATTCCCAGGTTTTTCCCCCACTTCCTCTTCTTTTAGGTAGAGCTAACCCTTTGCACTTGCAAAGAAATCTGAGTGTGATATTAGATCTTTATGTTATTTTTCTAACATAGTGTAGTGTATTATATATGATATTATATAATGGGACATACCATATTATACATGTGTAATTCAGTTGTGGGTTTTAATTTTTAGCCATTTGGTTTTTAGTTATTTCAAAGTATTTCATTTGGTTTTCAGTAAAATAACTTCTAGTTTTGCATTTCAAGTTTCATTAACTTACATAATATTTAATTCAGTTATTAATTATATAAATAGAATTGGGATAAACAGTTTGGGGACAAATACAGCTGGTTCTTGTTAAGCATCTAATGCAACTGGTGGATGTAAAATACATAAGCAGAAAGAGGATTAACCCACTAGCATCCATTTAGTGAAGGAGGAGCATGGTTAATGCAGAGTCAGAGGTTTTGAAGTTTTTGAACATGTTGGAGACTTTGCACATGGTAGGCAAATACTGTACCACTTAACTACATCCTCAGCCCTGCAGAAACTTTTATGGTTGTCAGAAAATGGGATTTCAGAGATGGCACCTCTGAGTAGGGACCAAGAATAGGAAGAATTTATAGAGGATTATGGTATGTCTCCCTGGATCTTAGTCTGTCTTTTATAAATCCACTTGCCCTTTCTGGTCTCTTGCCTACCATTGCTTTCCATTTCCACTGGCATGGGAACTCAAAATCATTAGCTCCTTCAGGAGATTTTCATCTCAGAGTCTCTGCACAGAAAAGAGTGGTGGTCTCATCTTCATTTAAGTGGGAAAGACTGGAGTGGAATGAGGCTTCAGTGAATGTTTGTTAAATGAGAAAGAAAGGGCTATGTTTTACTTGAGCCAAAAAAGTGAAACTGTAACGAAATTTTAATTTCAAACTTGATTGGAATTAGATGGAAAGTGATAGTGGTATTGGGTCTAATGGAGAATAGAGATGCTGCCCAGTGCCTCCCACCCTGCCTTATAGAGTAGGTGGTGATACTTGATACTGCCAGTACTGGCCAAGGTGATTTCCCTTCCTTTCTTCTTCTTTTTTTTTGACAGGGTCTTGCTATGAAGTCCAGGCTAGCCTTGAACTCTCTGTCCCTCTACCTCAGCTTCCCAAGTGCTGTGATTACAGATGTGTGCCTAGCTAGTAATTTCTTTTTCATATGATTCAGAGCACTACTAGTCTTTTTGACTTTCTTATCATTTTGTAAATGGATAGGAAGAGGGAATTCTTAAGACGCACTTCCTGAATCTTACATCTGTGCTCAGGCTTCCTTTTTTTTAATTTAAATTTTTAAAAATAATGTACTCACATCTGTTTTGGCTTCCCGGATACTGAGATTTTAATTTCCAGAAATTTATTTTTATTTACTCTACTATCATTTTTGCATTTTTCTCTCTCTGATTGTTGGGTTTTTTTGTTTTGTTTTGTTTTGTTTTAAGTGAGGATATGGGGAGACTTTCCCAGAAACAAAGTGAAAGATGAGTGGTTTCATTTTCTCAAAATAGGATGTAAAAGCAGTAGAGAGGCTCATTAGATATGGTTTTATGTTTTAGTTTTGCTTTTTTCATTTTTTAATAAAATGAAACTTTATATATACATATAGACGTGCATACTTATATACTCATAAGTGTGTATATATCCCAAAGAAGATATTATTTGATAATTTTTGCCTTATATTTATACTACAAAATTAGCCAGCCATATCAGCTAAAGAATCTCTTCCCAAAGAGAAGTTATCCATTTTTTTCTCAGATGTTTGTAATGCAATACATGTACCCTCAAGTTTTTAATTTTAACACTTGATTGAATGATATAAAATGGTTTTGTAGAAAGAGTAGGGTTTCTTTAAAGAATAATTAAAGTTGAATGTTCAGAAAATTATACAAATTTAGAATGAAAAGGAACTAGATATTAGAATATGTTAAGTAAAAACAAATTTCACAGTGCTATTTTTAGCATACATAACATTTCTGGAAGTTTTCACACAATACTTTTGGGTTCTTGTGGGGCATTTGGAGGGAAAATAGTGTTTTATTTTCCTTTTATGTTTTTATGTGCTATTGGAACCTTATCTTGTTCTTATAAGCAAATATTAACATCATTTTAAATCTTTTTTAAAAATTATTATTTGCATGGGCCTATTGGTTTTCATTTGACTTGTAAATGATTTTCTGTTGTCACATTATACTATACACTTCTTATGCATTGGCTGTCAGTTAATGGAAACAAAGAGGATGTAGGAGAAAGATTTAATAAGAATGAAAGGTTAAAATAGAGATTCCACTGATAACTGAAAAATAGTTCCTTTCGTGCAGTGGCATGCACCTCTCATGCCAACATTTGGGAGACAAGGATGGGATGCCTTGACAGCCTGGGCAACTTACCAAGACCCTGTTTCAAAAAAAAAAAAAGAAAGAAAGAGGGAGGGAGGGAAGGAGAAAGAAAGAGAGAAAGAGAAAAGAGGAAGAAAGAAGAGAAAAGAAAAAAAATACCATTATGGTACTTATTGTTAAAATACTTAAATGTGTAATAGAATACACATGGCAATATAAAATCAGAAATCACCCAAAAGAAAGTCTCATCACTTAAATATTTTCCATAATATTTACCCAAGCATGAGTCAGTATTTCATTTCTGAAGTTTTATTGTTTAGGGATCATAATAAGTTCACCAAGCTGTTCTTCAGCAGTCTGGTGCTAGGACCTCCCATGGCTAGCAGATTATCAAATTGCCCCTCATTCAGATTTCTGATACTAAGTTTGGATAATCTCATGATGGTGGACATAAGAATAAGTGTCAGCTTGGGCTTCACATTAAATTTTATTTATTTTCCAGAGGAATAAATTAAATTTAGTTTGATAGGCAAGTCTCGATTTAAAGTAAAACTAAGAGGAAATTTTGTGAAGAAAAATAATTCTGTTGTGAATACCAGAAAAGATCGGCTAAAATGCACTAGCATACAGAGGTGTTTCTGCTTACTTTCTGAATTGCTCTGTAGGAATTGAAAAATAGGGCAAATTAAAATTTCAACTTGCTAAAGATTTTATTCTCCTCTTTGCCTTTGTTCTTTCCTCATTCTCTTCTCCTTCTCCTATTCCTTAGTTCTTCCTCCAAAATAAAATCATGTCTTGCGTTTTTGCGGGTTTCTTTTCTTGTATGTGTGTATGTGTTGCAACAGGGCTTTACTATGTAGCCCTGGCTGGCTTTGAACATGTGATCCTTATGCCTACCCTCCTGGGTGAGGTACACTATGATTACAGATGTGAGCCAGCTGATCCTTTTTTCTTCTGAAGTAATTATTTGCGTTATCTTTTTGTGTTGACCAATTATTTCTTATATTGACCCAAAAATTTTCAGGGTTTTGAAACTACATTTCTAAATTATGTTATGCTTACAATTCTGAAGTGTATTATGTTTTGGTGAATTTTCTTATGAGTTGCTTTGTTTCATAATTTTTTCTCTTTCAACATTTTTTTAGGTCTTTGATCCAAATTTTAATTGAAATTTAGTTCATAAAAACAGTCACATTAGAGTCAGTTTTAACTTTAAGATAACATTGTGCACCTGAACAAAAGTGTAACTGTTTTTTATCCTTCCAACTCCTTCTCTTTAAGGAATCAGCAGGCGGGGATCTTCAATCTCCTTTAACACCAGAAAGTATCAATGGAACAGATGATGAAAGAACACCTGATGTGACACAGAACTCAGAGCCAAGGACTGAACCAACTCAGAATGCGTTGCCATTTTCACATAGGTACAGATTCAATGCAACAATCATGATTAAGTAAAATGTGTAAATGTGGAAATTTATTTGGTTTCAGAAACTCTCAAAATTACAACCTTTCAGTGCAGGTTAGATTTCTTCTTCTATTACTTTATCATTCAAAGTTGCTAAGACGGACCGGAGTGAACATTTTCTTTATCTGTGTAGAAAAAGGAGTATTGAGCTAATTGTAGGAGAAATTATTTTTCAGTGAAACAAGATATTGTAAATCCCTTCTCCCTATTTTTTTAAATATAGCCCTGTAAAGACCTCCTTTGTTAACTTGTTTTCTTTTTTCATATATCTTCTTTTAGGTTTATAAGTTGTATTTTTTTTTTAAAATAGGTTCTCACTCTGAGGTTAAACCTTACCATAGTCTTAGAGGTGATCCCATAGCGTGATTTCTCTGAAGAAATCAGAAGGGAAACTTCTAGCATGGGCCTGTTACTGGTTGTGGCAGATTTAGTTTTTGTATACCAATATGAGATAAAGCTTCCTTTGCTTCTGAATTTTAAAGGAATTTGGTATTTTAAAAGATACAGTTTGTCCTAAATATATTTCAAACAAGTTACCTTAATTATTGCCTATTTGTGGTATTTTTAGGATGTAAGGAGACCTAATGCAAATATAAAACAAATCTTTCTGAAAGTTCATTTTTAGCCTTATTTGAATCCTTTTCACTGAATAGTTTTAGGTAAAACAACCAAATGAAATTTGGAATTTAAGACCGCTTTTCCATGTAATAATTGAGGTTAGCAGACAGAGCTTATAATTTTGAGGAACATCCTAATTTAATAAAAAGGATTTACTTGTACATTTTGGGGGAGACCAATTTTTAGAAACTCAGATTCTTTGGCATATTAAGACTTGCACAGTGAGCTATTTTAAACTCTTCCTCATGAGAATTTAGACTTCGATTGTAATTTATTAAATATTAGGGTATCAAACATATTAGAGACTCATATTGAGGGACCTTGTGATTAGGCTGGGAAAGAAGAAAATGAATATAAGAAGTTTTTTGGGTTTTTTTTTTTTTAAGGAGTGAACAGGGAAAAACTTTGATGATGAGAGTACTCTAATTTTTGGTAAAAATGCTAATAATTTTACATAAAATAGTAGACATCTATCAAAGTTATAGGTTTCATCCTTTAACTACTGCAATGTAAGTGTATTTTCTTTTGAAATAGAGACACCTGAACAGGAGAAAGGTTTTAGTTCCCCTAATCTGAAGACTGTATGTTTACATTGATTTGTTAAGAATACAGTTTTTGTAATCTTACAAAAAAATTATACTCTTTAATTACAAATAAAGAATAATAATGTGGGTTGGAGCGCGGTTCAACTGGTAGAGTGCTTGCTTAGTCAAGAGCAAGGCCCTGAGTTCAAGCCCTGGTACTGAAAGAAAAGAATAATGTTAAGTATGAAGTCTTAAAAATATTTTAATTATGTTGAAGGAAGGAGAACTTTCCTGCCTTTTAAATTATGAGTAACATATTCATTTGGTATCCTTAACTGAACATAATTTTATGCTTGATTTCTTTAACACCTAAATTGAGCCATCTGCATTAAACACAGTGTCATGCAGAAATAAGTCTGTTTCCGGTTGACTTTGTATACCTGGAAGTTTCTAAATGCTTACTGCTTTGTTCATCAGTCCTTAGCATTTGGCATTGCTTACCTGGAACTGGTTTTCATGTACTGCTTTTTCTCTGATTATAGGAGTCTAGTAGGAGTCACTTTAACTTAATTCAGAATAGAGTTCTTTGACTCTTGGAATTTATTGATTTGTCATGGAGTTGTTTGACAGAGTCATAAATATAAAGCGTAGCAGGCCAATTTAAGCTTTGTTAAAGGATTATGTAATCTGAGAGTTCTATTATTTTAAGAAGACTATAACATTTAGAAGATTACTCCCTGAACTTACTTTGATTTAATATTAATATTCAACTAGTTCCTTGATTGAAATCAAGATTTCCATGTGAGACAGATTATTTTATAGCTAATACTAGAATCTCAGAATGTCAGAGATAGAAAAGACCTCAAAAATGGTGTAATCCAGAATTTTCCAAACTGTAGTAACTTGAAATCAATTTAATAGGTTATTCATGGCATTCTGAAAATGAAACCAAGTAAAAAAAAATCTGAGTAAAATTCATATCGAGTAGCAATGGTTTCAGTAATATGCATTTTTGTGTATGTGCTAAATTATGGTATAAAAATGACAAAGTTTGAAAGCATGTGCCTTTGGCTCCATGAATAGATTAAATCCCAGAGTCGACATGGTTGTCTTCAGTCACACAGTTCATTAATAAAAACTTCAAGTTGACAACTCAGCTCTTTTGATTCCAGTATGTACTATCAGCTAGTTAGTGGTACATTTAAGGCAAATAACCAACCTAAGCACATTATTTTGTCATGATGCCTGTTATTGTTTCTATCCTGGAACACTGTATAGAAATATGATCAGTGTTTCATGAATTAGTGGCAGAAAGAATATTAGAATATATTTTATTTAAATTGGAAACTCCCAAGTATTTAAATTGTATACACTGTTCTTTTATTTTTTTAACCCTTGGTAAAGAAAGACAATTAAAATCTATGTTACTAACTAAAGAGACTAAATAGCAAAAAAAAAATTTTGGTTTTGCCAATATTTCTCTATTCTTGTTGATCCCATTTTGCTGCTAACTAGGGAACAAAACCAGTAGAATGTCTTTTTTAAAAATGTGGGAACATAGAAAATAGTGATCTAGTCAGTCCAAATAATTAAGAATTGACTGTGATAATAGCTACTTGTGCTCTTAAAATTACAATTTTATGCCTAAATCTCATGAATCATTATGAGATTATTAGTTAATATATCAAAATAAGACCTTCACTTTCATTTGACCTTGAAAATTTTAGCAATGTGGTTTAGAGTTCTGTACTTTTTGGAAGCTTTATTTTAAAAAAGTTATTAGGTAGCTTAGCAAGATTTTTTTCTTTTAGTATTTATAACTTTTTATTACAAAAAATTTCGCCAGGGCCAGTGGCTCATGCCTGAATCTTAGCTACTCAGGAAGCAGAGATCAGGAGGATCATGGTTTGAAGCCAGCCCAGGCAAAGAGTTCACGAGACCTTATCTCGAAAAAACCCATCACAAAAAAGATCTGGTGTGGTGATTCAAGGTGTAGGCCCTGAGTTCAAACCCCAGTATGGCAAAAAAAAAAAAAAACCAAAAATTCAAATATGTATGAGATAGAATACAATAATGAGCTCCCATGAACATATTACCCAGCCTTAACAGTTATGAAAAAAAAATCCAATTTTTTTCATATCTTTTTTTTAATCTTCACCCTCCTCGGTCCTCTACCACTGTAATTTTTTGGGGTGAGATGGGGTCAGGAATCAAACCCAGGTCCTCATAAATGCTAGACAAGTACTCTGTATTATTTTAAAAGCAAATCCTAGAAAAATAATTTAATTCACAGATAATTTTGTTATTATTTGGTGGTACTCAGGGCCTTGCACTTGCTTGGCTGGCACTGTACCACTTGAACCATCCTCCCATCCCCAGCCATTTTAATAGCATCTCATTTATGCCTGGGTGGGCCTGGACTGTGACCTTCCCAATGACACATCCCTCATAGTTGGGATGACAGGTACACACCACTACAACTAGCTTTTTATTGGTCAAGATGTGTCTCAACTATTTTTTTGCCCAGGCTGACCTCAATCTGAGAGCTTTCCTATCTCTGCCTCTCAAGTAACAGGAATTATAGATACGAGCTGCCAAAATTATTTTTGAGCTTAAAAAATTTACATACTAAACTATTATAACTTTTTATATGATATGTGATTCAATGGCATAATAGGTACTTTGAGTTATTCACTATTCGATTTTTTTCTTGTCACCCTTCACACTTTCTTGAATGATTCTAGTGAGTTTCATTCTGTTTTCATACATCTATGAAGTACTTCCATCATATTCATCCTCCCCCCTGCCATTGGCTTCTTTGATTTTTAATTATATTTTTTTTTTTGTTTTGTTTTTCTTTTTAAGAAGCTTTTTTTGTTGTTGTTCATTTATTCACATGTGCATACATTGTTTGTGTCATTTCTCCACTCTGCCACCCTCCCCCGCCCTTTTCCCCCTCCCCCACCCTTCCCCCCTCCTCCACCCTTTTCCCCCTCCCCCCCTCAGTTCCAGGCAGGTCCTGTTCTGCCCTCCTCACTAATTTTGTTGAAGAAAAGACATAAGCATAATAAGACAGGGCGTTTTTGCTAGTTAAGGATAGCTATACAGAGAGATTCCTACTATTGCTTTCGTGTACCCATGTGTTACAACCCATGTTGATTCAACTCTAACTGATCTTTACATTGATTCCTGATCCCCTGCTCATGATAACCTGTCATTTTAAGGTTTCTGTATTAGTTCCTCTGGAGTGGGGACATCAAACGCTTTCATGTTTTGGTTTTTCTACCTATTCCTGTATCTCCCGTATGTGCTCTCCCCTTGTCTTGTGATCCAAGTCCAACCACATTGCTGCATTTGCCCTAGATCTAAAGTCTGCATATGAGGGAGAACATACGATTTTTGGTCTTCTGAGCCTGGCTGACCTCGCTCAGAATGATGTTCTCCAGTTCCATCCATTTACCTGCAAATGATAAGATTTCATTCTTCTTCATAGCTGAGTAAAATTCCATTGTGTATAAATACCACATTTTCTTAATCCGTTCGTCAGTGGTGGGGCATCTTGGTTGTTTCTATAACTTGGCTATTGTGAATAGTGCCGCAATAAACATGGGTGTGAAGGTGCCACTGGAGTAACCTGTGTCGCATTCCTTTGGGTATATCCCCAGTAGTGGGATTGCTGGATCCATATGGTGGTCTATGTTTAGATTTTTAAGAAGTCTCCAGATTTTTTTCCAGAGTGGTTGCACCAGCTTGCATTCCTACCAGCAGTGGATTAGGACTCCTTTTTCCCCACATCCTTGCCAACACCTGTTGT